TTGAAATCGAAAATTTGAAAAATTCCCGGTAAAGCAAAAGAAGGGGGCCATGGATCAATTGATAGAGCAACTTTTACAGGGTGAAATCTTCTGGTATGAAACTACACATGCTCCACCTGTTAGCCCAAGTGCTTTTGTGCCATATCCAAATAGACCCAGAATTGGAATGGGGTTGCAGACAGCTGATTGTAACAATGGAGTGAATTCTGGGAACATGAACAAGAGAATGATTGAATTCTTGAGGCAGAGTTGGCCTACAACGACAGGAATCAAAGACACCGAGAAAGAGAGGTGTTTCCGTCACATGATGAATGAGAGAATGAGAAGAGACAAGCAGAAAAAAAGCTACTTTGCCTTGCATTCTATGCTCCCTCTTGGCACCAAGGTTGGTATTTTTTGTTTTGTATAATTTCTAATTAAGTTGTGTTCACTGAGCATTTTCTTTGATCTTTCCTGGTAGAATGATAAGAACTCAATAGTTCAAACGGCAAGTAAGAGAGTTCAAGAGCTGCAATGGCTGAAGAAGGATTTGGAGAGGAGAAACTACGAGCTGCGGGCAAATTTTGCGGCGGTGAATGAGAACCAAAACAATGAAGGAACCAAGATTAGAGTAAGGATAGACAATCCAAGAGTATCTGGGATTGATTCCATATTGGAGGTTTTGAAATGCTTGAAGACATTGGATTCAAAACCCAGAATGATCCAGTCGAAGTTTACTAATCAAGAATTCTTTGCAGTGATGGATATTGAAAATGAGGTTTGCCCTGTTTTGCTTAATATGGACTCAGCCTGCTCATGTAAAATACCATACATTTTAGCCCTAGTACAATTTCTAAACAAATAGTTAGTATTAATTTTGAACATAATTTTAAACATCTCCAAGCAATTAAACATTGGGATAATATCAAATATCAATACCTACAATCCATTTTCTATGTTTGGACCTCTTTTGTACAAAAGAAATTTAATACCAGCACTATAATGAATATTTTTATGTGTATGTTTCCAAAATATTGATATATCAATTGTAGTATTAAAATCTCATAAAGTTATGAAATAATGTTTTAATATAGTGCTACTATTAATACTAATCCTAGTCATTTGTCCTCTTTTTTGACAGATGAGAGCTGCCCAAGTGGAAAAGGTTGTAAATAGAGCATTGCAGGAAGCTGGGAGGAAACTTCAGGATACACCAAAGGAAAATCAAACGTGGCACCAAAGAAGATAGAAAACAGCATTAGGTCAATTGACCATAAACATAATGAAATTGTAGTCGTAACAATTACTAAAACGTGGGAAATATGGGTGAATTTAGTTTCTAATCACTGGGCTTGAATTCTTCTTTATTTCAAATAATTCTCAGTACCTTCTGAATTTGAATGGACTTAATTTTGCTTGAGATTCTGATGGAAGCTGACGTAAGAGCAGAGATCATCTGCACTCTAGAATTGAAGTAGTTGTTTTTGTTTTAATGGGTTTTGGAAAAAATGGGTCGCATGACGTAGATGGTTGAAAAATGCGTGAGAGATTAGAAAGCCTAGCTCAACTATTACTACTATTGTAATGTTTTGATCTCTTCAATCGATTGCGGCTGTTCAAAAAACTCATCCTGCAACCCGCCGAGAGAGAAGTTTTTGTGTTTAACAAAATTGACTGTCTGTAAGCCATTATGTTGACAGTTGACAAATGTCGCCAATAATAATAGAACTAACAAGCCGTTGAGACATACCAGTTGTCTAGGTTTTCAGATGTGCTGTTTTGTTTTCCGCTTAGTTGGAAACTTGTTCGCCCCAAAAGGGGTAACTGGCTAAATCTGTTCTTACCATCCTTTTGAAGGCTTCTAATGAATAAAGAAGGGTAGCCTGCATGACAATAATTCCAACAAATATAATCTGAAATACCAAGCATTAAATTGCCTGCTACTTTATTATCTTTGGTTACAAGAAAATGAGGGGGAAAAAATTGATGGATTTAAAATTTTTCAAAACAAATCATATTGATTTAATAAAAATAAAAAAATATATTTATTATATCAAAATAAATTATCACACGATAACTTATTTTGATATATAATTAAAATAGAAAAATAATGCAAATACAGGACCCAATGTATTCGAATTGTCAGCTAAGATGGACCGGTGACAAAGGAATAATTGTGAACTGCCACAGGTCAAGTCGTCGACCATGGTTTGATCAAAGGATAATCAAATTCAGCTGTCATGCATAAATAAGTGCGACCGTAGCTCAACTTCAGATGTCAGTAAATTGGAAAAAGCTTAACTCTCCAGTAAAATGAACATGGTAAAAATGTCACATACTTTGAACGTTCACTACCCCAAATTACCATCATTATTGCAAATACCACCACAGCTAACAGTCTTTTCAGAGCAATTTTAAAGGCCAGCAGTGGGCAAATTACCATAAAAATAAATGAAACATTCAAAGCACCTCTTTAAAACATAAGCAAGTCTCATTATCTGATGTAACAACTGAAAGGATATAAAATTGTCATTACCAAAAGTGCAACAAACAAAATTTGATCAACATAAATATCTCTTCATAGTAACACCAGGAAAGGACTTCACTTCAGAGGAATGAACCTAGAAGAATGAGTAGCACCAATACCAGGTCTACCGTGCTTAACTGGCTTGTATGAAATAGAGAACTCAGCAAGGTAATGGCTAATCATTTCAGGCTTGATTTCAACTTGATTGAATGTCTTGCCATTGTACACACCAATAATGCTTCCAATCATTTCGGGAACAATGATCATATTACGCAGGTGTGTTCTGACTGGTTCTGGCTTCTCGCCAGGTGGGGCCTCCCTTTTCTGATTTAATACATCAGACGAAACATTATGCAAGTATAAATAGAATAATCAAACACTAATTAGATCTATCAAGATAATATTCTCTAAAGCTAGATTTACAATAATAATTCAGCAACAAACAAACAAAAGTTCTACATCAATAACAGTGCATTGAGTTCTAATCAGGATCAAGTAATCTTAACAATACTAAAAAACAACTCTTAGGGCTTGAATCACCCTAAAATTGGACAAGTAGCATTAACTATCTGAGAATGAATCTGAGTGTGGAAAATTCAAAGGACAATGACTAATAACAGCCAAAAAAACATAGGGAAGATAGTTATGATGCATGCAAAATAAGTTGAGAATCGGTACTTCATCAAATCAGGACTAAATATTATGTTAAGCACATTCAAGGCTTTGCACATAATTAGAAACACATACAATTAACTGAATGCAATCTGCTAAAGTACAGGCAGTAAAAATGACAATTTATAACAACTCCAAACATAAGTGACCCAACTTCAGTTAATAGAATTTGCCACAAAATTCCAATGAAAATTGACTCTCTCCATCAAAAAGATAAATTATAATGGGAAAATATGAGACATGGAACAAATAATCCTAACATAAGAAATTCTCAAATCACATCTTACTACTAGCAAAAACATGAGTTTCAAGTAACATTTTGACAGTAAGGCCTAAGGCAAATCTCTCATTTTTAACAAAATAAAATAACACTCCCCAGTAACGCAAGATCAACCTCAGATCTAAACCTAAATCCAGTAAATATAATTGATAAAAGACAAGAAATGAAAGAGCAAAGTCAAGATCAAATTACCGCCTTGCGGAGTTTCTTAATCAAAGCCATGGGCTTTCGCTTGAGACCCCTCTGGAACCTACAATCACATAATTAAAACAATAAAAATACTCATTTCATATTTTTAAAAATAAAAACAAGAAAAAAAAAAGTAGGCAAAAATGGATCCTTTTATTCTTATTACCTTCTGCGGGCACGAGCAGGGAACAGCTTGACGAGCTCATCGGTGGACATATCAAGGAGAGCATCCAAATCAACGCCTCTGAAGCTAAACTTCTTGAATGTTCTCTTCTTTGGAATTCCGGCCGCCGCCACATCTGTCTCCACATCCGCCTGTCAAAATTTACCCATTTACCCCACAGTAAGAGAAGAAGAAGAAGAAAGTGACAGACGTAACTTACCATGGTTAAAGCTTTGGGCTCTGAAGCTAGAGCTGTAGCCGGTATGGTTTTTAAGGTGGAAGAAGTAGGAAGAATTTTCTATAAGTTACTTATATATAAAGGCTGAAAACCCTAGAATCAGAATTTTAGAAATGTTTGCATTTTAAGAGCATGGGATTTTTGTTATTTGAGATGAGATTAGTGAAAGTGCCTACTTTTATATGGGCTGGGCCTGTCACTTGGTTTAGTTTTAATAGTTGAGACTCAAAGTTGGGTCAAGCACTAGTTTATAGTCGACAACAAATACTAGTTTTAGTTTAAGACCACTTACAAGCAGTGGCGTAGCCGCATAAAAGAATTAAGGATCACCTCATTTAATTTTTAAAAATTTAATTTAGTATAAGTGTTTTAGTAAATTTTTGTATCATTTATTTATATTGATTCACTAAAATTAAAAAAAAAAATTAAAAATGAAGCCTTCAAACTTTTAAAGCTGCATTTGAATTAGACCATAGCATGAGTGCAATGCAATTAGATTTTTTTTTCCCCTCAAATTGCACTGAAATTTTTTTGGATAACATCCCTTCGTGAGATTAATTTCACCATTTTTTTCAGGTGGTGAATAGGCCTTTCATTTGGAATTTTTGGACATTAATACCCATGTTGTTCTTTTCTATTTCCTAAAGCATTCTAACATAATTTTTTTGTTTTTGTTTTTAATTTAAATCTGTTGACTTTGTCATATGTTTTGTACTTATGTTTAAGATTAATTTATCTAAATATAATTTGTAATTGTAATAAGTACTATATTTTAAATATTAATATTTTTAAATTATTTTTATAATTTTAATTATTATTATTTTAATATAAAATAATATGCATAAAATTTTTTATTGAATACAATTTTTAAAATTTTATTTGATAACAAAATAATTGAAGTAAATTCTAATTTATTATTAACTCACAAATATTAAAAATATATATTAAAAATTTTACTATACACAAATTTTAATTTTATATTTTTATGATCATTTCCCTTCTCACTATAATTCAACTCATTGTAACCACTATATTTGCAACAAAATGCATATTTCAACATTTATTTTAATTTTACCATCACAGTAATTAATCTCACTGCTATTAGTATTATCAATTTTACTGAAGTTAATTTTATCATTCATCTAAATGGACTTTAAGTTTGTGGGTGTAAGTTCCACCAAAAATGAATTTTGTCCCAAATCACATATTTATTAGTTAGTTATTAATTTAGTTTGTTAATGGTTTCTGTTGTTGATGCGTATTAAGAATTATTTAATTATGATTGTAATTTTTTAAAATATATATAATTTTATAAAAAATTATTTATTATTGTATTTAAACACATCAATTGTCTTTTTATTAAAAGAAAAAGATAAATAACAACAAAATAAGGATTGAATCAAACAAAAAAATTACAAGAAGAATGAAACCAACTTATAACATTTAAAAATGATCAAATCAATAACTTGAAATAGTATCTCATTGTTATTGTATTAACTTTTTAATGAAGTAACAAGATAATACATTCTATAATTTTATAAACCTAAAGACTTTCAGATTTAACATAATTTTTTTCAATAATATAATGCATTAAGTTAACAAAAATTAAAATATGAATGTACTAAAAACTTTTTAGCTACGCTATTGCTTATAACTCTCCTTCCTTTCTCTTTCTTTCTTGTCTTGACCTTTACCTGCCCGATGCTTTTGGAGTCTATCAAAATCTACTTTATTTTCTTTTTTTTTTTTCATTTATATTTCCCTGATTGGACCATAATTCGATTGCTGATTTACAAAGATTAGGCATATAACCTATGTTGCAAATTATTAAGCAAATTACATGAGTACTTATTATCTGCGTATATTATATATATGCGATCTACTTTAGAAAATAAATTTATTATTTTCATTGTTTTTGTTTATTTGAAATTAGTATTGGACTTAATTATAAGTATTAATGTATCCTATTTAAAGATATTAAAATTTGAAATTTAAATTTATATAATTATCTTTTAAAAGATGACATTTAAATAAATAACGATTAAATCCTAACATTTGCAATATTTTTTCCAATCATTATCATGCAACTTTTTTTGTAACAAAAAAAAAAACGGTACAAATCTCCTATCATCAAAATTTAAAAAAAAAAAAAAAAGAAACTTAAGCCAAAAATTATGATTAATCACTGGTTGGCTATTACATTAAGCGATACATTGGAAGCAAACATTCATGTTTTGGTTTAGATGCACACCGATGATAAAATTCCTCAGTAGAAGAGGGAAAAAAGAAACCCACAAATGAAAGACACAAGATTTATCAGATAGATTGTTTCTCCCTCTTGGAAACAATTTTAATTTCCAAATCAGCTGAAAGGAAAATTCAAGGCTTTGTCAAAAGGTGACAAATTTAGCATGCTGGGGGTTTGAAACTGGCTTATGTTTATGTTACAGTTGTTCTTGTGCTTCAATGTTGGATTTTTCGATTTTTTGAATGGAATCTTTTAGCTCCAACTGAATGCTTGGTCTTGAAGGGGACAAAACAATATCTTTCCAAACCGAGCCGGGCTTGTCTAGTGGACTTGGCTCTTCGTAAAGCTCATATACAGATTCTGCTCCAGGGTTCAAGTTGCTTACATTTGACAAGCAGTTGATGTCATCTGGATCTATCAGCAGCTTGCTATCTCCATCTTTCCTTGCTATCAACTGCATTTGTATATGTACAAAATGCTATATGTTAAAAGAAAGAAAGAAAAAAACAGATTAATCAACAAATAAGAAGAACTAATTGCTGAAAGTGATGAGCATAACAGACAATATTGAGTTGAGACAGACCTTGTTCAAGCTGCCCGAGCCTATCCAAACATTCACTGTTTTTAATGTCAAATAAAGTATAAAGTTGTATGAAATTTGCAGAAGAAACCAGTTTCATTGGATCATTTGTAAATGGTCCAAAGGAACTACCGAACAAACAACTAAAATGGGAAATTGAAGTTAAACATGGTCACAACTCCCAAGTTCCAACTAGTTGGAAAGGATGTTCATACTATCTCACTTTTTCTCCTTTAATTTTATTAGATTTGATAATTTAAAATATAATATAGTGAAATGATAAAAAAATTATATGAAAAAATATGAAAGTAACAGAAATTAAAATTTTTTTATAAAATACAATACAAATATATAAATTTTTAATATTTTACACTACACGAATTATCATATCTAAATTTTACTTTTAACCACAAAAATACAAGTGTGATCGTTAGTGGTTGCAGTTGAAACTTCACAAATTGCATCCAAAGTGAAAGAAACATAATTATTTGTTAAATTATAAAAAATACAATTATGATCCTTAATAGTTGCAGTTCAAACTTCAAGAATGACATCCGAAGTGAAAGAAATATAATTATTTGTTAAATTATGCAAGCAAATGGTGTTTTATATGCCAATAGTCCTTTGTTGATCAAGTATTATATTTTTAAGTCATGTTTTATATATAAAATTATAATAAGATATGATAAAATGATACAATTAAATTTTACTTTAATCACAAAAATACAATTATGATACTTAGTGGTTACAGTTGAAACTTCAGGAATGACATCCAAAGTGAAAGAAACACAAATTATGCAAGCAAAGAGTGTTTTATCTCATTAATCACAAGCTTTTTTACCTTTGGGGGGCCTCCAAGAGCGTTGGTGCAATAAAGTCTGGCATTGTCAACAAGTTGGCAGTATCTTGGAAATGCACTCGCAAACATTTTGTGGGATTTTAACTGTGAATTTACTCTCACTGCTCTTTTCACCATTATAGCTCTCCTGCACAATTTCCAAACATGTAAATAAGCCAATCTATCAATATAATTCAGTCCAAATTGGAAACAAATTTCTTATGTATCAATCAAACTGGCAACGGCCAATTACCTTATTCCTCTAACAACAGCTAGATATGCATCACAAACCACCCCAACCAATTCTAATCTGTATGGTTTCCTGTGTGTCTGATCAGCATTTTCTTCTTGTTGATGCTCCTCCTCTTCTTTGACCTGTTCCCAATAGTTCTCGGTAATGGTGCCATCTTCAGCCACCTTGTAGCCAACCCCCATCCTGTAACGGTATTTGTGAACGTTTCGAACCATGGCAATAGTCTGCTCAACAAAAGGCTCCCATGATAATGTCCCATCCATTATCACATCACGACCTTCATTTAATGCTGTTACTAGCAGTGATGATGCAGCATCAGTGGAGGATTGGTGAACCTGGTTTTATATTATACAGTTCAAATATAAGTAACATATTCAAGTGGCAATGGGTGTGCTTAAAAAGCATCAATGGCAACCGAGAAATTTGAAGTTGGAGAAATTTATACTAGTTCAGCTGTTTGAAGCATATCATTGTGGTGACCCCTAGAGCTCAGAGCCCTGTATATAACATCTGTTTCCTTGAATGCATCTGCCTCTACAACCACAGCATTTGCTGCTGCTCCTGCCCAAAATGGTCTGCCAATGTCCCAATTACAACATCAATAGTTAGTACAAATATCTCAAATTTTATTAGGCTCCATTTTCTTCCATCAAAATCTTGAAACAAATTTTATTTTAGCAACTTTTTTTTAAAGAATTCAGTCAGGGGTATCCTCAAGTTTTATGTGAATCTAATTAGGTTTTTCTTTTTTTCAATGTACAAATTAGGTTATGCAATATATTGCTTACCAGACAATCATTGCAATGATAATGCTGATTATTTTAAAGGGGAACTTGAATTGGTAGCAAGTCTCTTACTCGTTGGGTGGGCAAAAAAATAAAGGAAAAGAAAAAAAAGAAAAGGTCTCTTACTCTTTGAGTATGTCTTTGAGGACAGTGCTTTTGCCAGCTCCCATACCACCGCCCATAAGCAATAAGACGGGGCTCCTCTGGCTGTGGGCCACCGGCACCATTACGTCTGTATATTTTGATTCGTCGTCGACAGTTCCCATGGCTTTCATCTCCTCCACCAACGTGGAGAAGACCCTAGTCACTTTTAAATCCTTGGTCACCCTCTCAAATCTCTTCTGTCTATAACATAACTAACCAAATCAAAATTTCAATCCAAAATATTTTTTAAACATAATCAAACCATCAATTGATTATCTTCAAAACTTTAAATCTGTCATACTAGAATTAATTGATAAATTCTACTATCTTTATTAATTTTTGGATTGAGCAATAATTCACGCTATGAATATGATTGATGAACCACTTTTGTAATTAGTGAGACAAAAAATTTCTAGAGAAATTCTCCTACAAGGGGAGACAAGAACGTTTCTTTCTTTTGGCCAACAGAAAAAGAATTTTATTGCAAATCAATCACATTTTCAAGTACACAATGAGAACAGTAGCCTGCTGCATCTGCTCCAGACTACACAAAACCATAGATAGACTAAGAAACTTCACAACAGAATCATGAGGGTGCAAGGCTGCAAGGAGAATAGTAGATCATCTTTGAAATATAAATTATTTGAATTAGTTATAGAATTATTATGGGTTAAATATAACATTGATCTTTATCAATTTGATATTAAAAAAATAAAATTTTTAGTTTGTTACTTTAAAATTTATTCCCTTATTTATTTTAATACTTAAAACTAACGTGATTAATAACATGAACATTCAATAAAATATTGATATATGTCAAAATTTTCGATCAACACACATCATCAATTACATGAGTATTAAAAAAATTTCACAAAAATTCTAAAACAATTTTTAAAATTTGATATATTTTTTAAAAAAATTATTAAAAAATATTTTTTTTAATTTAAAAAATATATGAAAACTTAAAAAATTCAATAAATCTCAAAATTTTAATAAAACATCAAAAAAATTTTGAAATATTCAAAAAAATAAAAATTTTAATAAAAATAAATTTTACAAAAATTGGAAAAAACTTTAAAAATAAAAATAATAAAAATCTTAAAATTTCTATTAATGTTGACATGGCAATTAATGATGTAACAATTATTATACTTTTTTTATACGTTTCAGTATTTTATTGGTTGTTTATGCCACGTCAACAAATTAATTAATGACATTAGTGCAAAGTATCAAAATAGATGATAGAATAAAAGTTTAAGTACCAAACTAATAATTTTATTTTTTTATATATCAAATTGACAAAAAAATATATAACACAAAGACTATTTTTATATTTAACTCAATTATTATCATTTTATTGTCTATTTTATTTTATTTGTTCATCTTGCCCTTTTTTATGTCTCAAATTAAATTATAGTTTCATTTTTTCCCATATGTAGTATTCTTATTTTTTATATAATAAAAATTATTTTTATGATTTTTATGTTAAAAGTTGTAAAAAATCAATTTTCAAAAAACAAAATTTGTTTTTGACTCAAAATACACTAAAGCCAACATTCTTTATCAATTCAGTAAAAGTGAAAGAAAAACAATTTTTTTCATTCAAATAAAACTATTAATTTTAGTCCGAAAGAGTATAGTACTATTAATCGAAGGGAATAACTTCTATTTCAAAATCTCATTTATTCAAAAATTAAAAGGTATTGACTAAATTACTTGTTACTAATATAATTTAATATAATTTTATTTGAATCTACAATTTTTACATGTCAACTTCATAAATAAATTATTTTTTTATTTTTTAAAAAATTTTTCTTATTTGTTTCACTGTCCTCAAATTGGTTTGATCTTTCAACTTACAAATTAAGACTCCACAATTATTCTAAGGAAATGTTCAAATCAACAAGCATTTAACTCCAACAATTATCGGTTTCCTCACCTCATTATCACAATTAAAACATTCATGAAAAGGAAGTCAAAGTTTAATTCATTAAACTCAAAGATTATGAAATCTCTTCCTCTTCCTTATCTAACAATTTTTCTATTAATCTATTTAATATTGTTGATTTTCCCAAAGCCTTTATAAAAAACCCTTAAACAAAATTACCCATTAATACTCTTTTAGTTTTTATCTAGATTTTACTTCTCTAAAAAAATATTTGTTGATTTATTGTAAATATTTTTTCCTCATTTGATTTAAATTCTTAAGATTTATTGATGAATATACTCACTAATTTATTTTTTTTGCAAAATCCATCAGTCAAAAAATCAAACTTACAAATTCGAAAAGTATTAAAAGAATCTAATCATAAATTTGTTGATTTGTGTTGTAAAATTCTCAACCCATTTCAATTTTTCTTTTTTTTGTTAATGACAGCTCTTCACATTTGTTTTTAAAAAGTTTAATATTTCACAAGTTAATAAAACATGTATGTATAAATATGTTTTAATATTTTTAATTGTTATTGTTGAATCATAATAACTAGCGAGATACTATTTAGTTTTTATTTATTTGATATTATATTTTGTGCATAAGATAATAGATAATATATGATAATAATTAAAAAATAATATCGATAATTTAAATTATATAATTTTATAAAAAATAATTTTATTAATAAATAAATTATTCTATTTTAAGTATTGTATATATAAAATATAATATAAAAAAACATTATTTAATATAATTTTATTCACAATATAATTTTATTATATTATATTCATAATTTTATATAATAAACATACATAATCTAGAATTATACTAAATATGTCTCCCACTTATCGGACAGTATAACTTTGTTGATTTAAGTTTAGCAGAGTCCAATTTCTTATTCTCTGTTTTTCCCTATCATTAGTCGAAATAAGTACATCAAAATTCCAAATCATGCATTAAAAACATTTAATGGCACTATTCAAAAAATAAATAAATTAAAAATTGATTGCTACTACTATTCTCTTTAGGAATTGTGAGGTGAATAAAACCCCAAAAAAGGTAGTGGATATGGACAGCTAAACTGATGTTGATGTGAACTGATTAATTATGTGTGGGTACCTACGGTTTGGTCTACTTCCCTGGACAGTGCTTACTCAATAAATCCTTATAATTAATTAATGTATTTTTTAATGAAACAATTTGTTGGCCAAAAGATTAAAAAAATAAATAAATAAAAAAACTTCTGTCTATATTGAAGTAATTAATGGGTAGTCGGTACTGATTTGACTAATGAAAAGCATAAAAAAACAAATTGGATAAAGAAAAACATTAAAAAAAAACAAATTAGCTGTCTCCTATTAAAATAATATATGATATTTTAATAGAAATAAGATTTGAAGTAGTGAATATTTAATTTTAATTTGGTTTGGTGGGTTGTTACTTATTATTATTATTCATGATGGTGGCCCATGATGGTGGCCTGTGGGGTGCTAAGATTAAAGCTTGAGTTGGAGATGATTTAGGAACATATTATTAAAAGACAATAACATAAAAATATACTCCTATACATTATTGAAGAATAATGGGAATGAAATGATAACCACCTTGTGGCTGCCATTAGAAAGCCTTTTAGCTTTGTTTCCTTCTCAGATTCAACACTCAAAACCTACAATTCAAAAAAGTTAATGAAAATCATTTATTAATCAATTATCAAATGAAATATTATTGAGAAAAATTGATAAAATTTTTTAAGTGAAATTTTCTATTAAAAATAATAAAATTGAAATTGAAATTGAAAATCCAGACCAATAAATTAAATTTTTTGTTACATAATATATATCAAGTGTATAAAATTTTAAAAATTTTGTAATTTGGTATTTTTGTTAAAATTTTTATAAAATTTTTACCATTAAATAAATTCTTATGAAATTTGAATTATAAATAATTTTTAATAATTTTTTTACATATTATTAATTTTTCATTTTTTATTGAACTCTAACAATATAACAATTTAAATTTTTTGTTAATATTTTTATTAGCATTTTTAGTAAAAAACTTCACTTCATTTACCTCTTACCCAAAATCATTAACTTGTAATAAATTTTGCGCCAAAAGAATTCTAGTTCATACCTGGCTAACCATATACGAAGCTTGGCTCCAATGGAAGGCAAAATAACTAAGGATGCATCTCTCAAACTCCTCCATCAGCTTTACGTACAACGTCTCAGCTTCTGGTTCATTACCAAAATATTCAAAGATGCTAATCTCACAATCCTTGGGGTTTTTCAGATAATTATAAGCCAACTTGCACAGCTGCGGACACTCGTTTGCATCAGCAAATCCCAGTTGCCTAGCTGCATCCCCAAACCCCAAATCAAATAATAAAAAGGGTTAAGTTTTTTTGTATTATAAACCCCAAAAAGTTGGGAAAGTTAAGCTAAATATATGGTACATACCAACATAGTGGGAGAATCCTTCCAGGTTTCCAACACGGCCGGACTCTGTCCTGTCTAGCAGTGGGATGCTACTTTCATCTTTAACAGGTTTACTCTTTCGCCAGCAGTAACTAGCGGCGGCTGCTGCGATGGCTCCGATGACAGAGGCAGCAAGGATGCGGGTGATGATGACTTTGCCGTGGCCATACTCTGCAGAGGTTTTAACAGAAAATTACAAAAAACCAGGGATTCGTACTATCAGAAATTAAAGAGAAAATAGTAAGATAATTAGCTAAAAGCTTACCATGATGCATATTTTTTGTTGTTGCCGAAAACATCCAATATTACAAATGGAACTTGGGACTGCTGGAAAAAAAAATGAAAGCTTGGGTTTGGCTTTAATTGGTTGAGCGATGGAGATGGAGATGAATTTTTTTGTACACTAGAGGACAATACAAGTCAACATCTTTGGGGCTAAAAAAATCTAGAAATGAAATTCCAATAAACAAAACGAAATAAAAAGTATGTACAATATCACGTGTAATCTGTTGGAGAACCAAGAGAATTTTTTTTTATGCATGAAATATTGATGCATGAATGAAGTGTTTTTTTGGATGAAATTTATAAAATTTTTAACTAAAAATTATCCAATAAAAACATTAATCTATAGTTTAAATGGTTAGATCTATAGAATTCAATTAAAATTTTAATAATATGTACAAAATTTTCAAAAATTGCTATTTATAATTTAAATTTAATCACTACTTATTCCATTGTAAAAATTATGTTAAAATTTTTAGTAAAAACTACAAATATTTATTTAAAAAAATCAAAATCTATTAAAACTTTTTAAAATTTTACACATTTAATCTATCTATATAATAAAAAATTTTAATTTATCCATTTATATTCTTTATTTTAATTTTCATTTAATTACTTTTAATAAAAAAATTTTCAAAATTTACTTAGACAATATCATCAAAATTTTTCCAAAATATAATGTAGAAAAGTTGTTCAAGCAAAGCATGGGCCATACCTTATATTTAAGGAAGTAATTTTGAGACGTCTTTTATAAGACAAAATCGTGAGGTCAGAAGGATCAGAACGGACAATATCTCATAAAAGTGTGAACCGTGACAAGAAGATTGATCTAAGACGCCGGATGAATAGATGCCCGAATCCTAAAATCGCGCGAATTCGAAGCTTAAGTCTCGACCCGTGACATATCAACTACAATGATTATAATACAATTAATTAATTATAATTCAAAATTATATAAAATTTATCAAAATTTTTTTCGAAGCCTAAATTTATAAGTAAAGCACTCATATATAATTTTTTATTGTGATCGAATAATTATAATATTATAATAAAAGGAAAAAAAATGAGAAGTGATTGAATTGATGATATAATAGAACCTTCAATTACAAATAGTGATACAATTGATGATAAAAAAAAAAAAGATAATTTTTAATTCAATTTTCCATCTCAACAACTCTAGTTACTATACTTAGTTAACATTCAAGTCTAACTCACAACTCACAGTGAGCATCTATACTTAGTTAACATTCAAGTCTAACTTACAGTAACCATTTATAAAAAATGACTCTAGTTTAGTTAACATTTATAAAAAGTATCTAAAAGATTACGAGTTCAAAGCATTCTTTTTAGTGGGAAAACGAATATTTTTTTTCCTCGTTATCAGATAATTATTTATTCATAAATTAAGATTATGTATTTAAGATAATGAATCAAATCTTTAAAAAAAATTCTTTTTTGTTTGTCAATGCCAATTTACCAATAATTTTGTTTTAAAATGGAAACCCATCATTGTCAATCCATCATATCTCTGATGGATTAAACGTGTAAAGCCTATTTCTTGCTGATTTTAGAATGCTATTGTACGTACTCCTACATATTTTATGTTTGGGAAGAAAGAGAATATTATAAAATATTGTTGTTATTAGAATTTTTTTTGGTATATTTTTTTTGATAAAATATTAAAATTTTAATTATAATAAATGAAATTTTAATTTTTAATTATTTCATATATAAAAAATTATACCCAATAATTTAAAATTTTTATCGTTTCCATATTTACTAATTTTGTTTTCCTTACTCAAAACGAAAGTAAAATTAAAAAAAAATCGAAAGAATTAATTATTAAGAACTTAAAACTATAAACTTCGACTTTGAAAAAGTTTGAAACTCATAGCTATAAATTTACCATGTATGTTTTCATTTTTATTTTTTACTTTATCCATTATTAAGTTGCTAATTTCTTAAATAGATTATTTATTTATCAATTAATTTCTTGTATTCGTTTTTGTGTTAATTTTCGTTACAATAGAATGTAAAAGGGAATAATACCCAAATAGACATTTGAACTTAAAAAGAAAAATAAAATAATCTTTTTTATTTTTTTATATAAAATTAATATTAAAAACCTTTATTACATTGCAATTATACACTTTAAATCTTGAAAATGAATTAATAAATTATAATCGCCAGCATTATATTAAAATAACATTAATTCCCTCAAATATTTGTTATCTAACTCATTTAAATAGATTCATGATTATAGATTATAGGAGCCAATGAAAAAGATATTAACTAAATATAGAATATTTCATAAAATCGAATTTTGTATCATAATAAAATAAAAATTCATAATGTTAATTCCTTACAATAAAGAATAAAATTTGAAAGTTTATTTGGATATTATCTTCATTTAAAAAAACATAATATTTATATAAGAGTTTGTGTGTCTATATATATATATATATATATTCTTCATTGCCAATTTATTTTTAAATTTAGTAAAATAAAATAAATGATTTACAATGTCAAATTTTTAGTTCCAATAATTAGAGTTCAAATTCTAACAACTTTAAATTCAAAAAACAAAAAAGAAAGTGAAAGTGAAATTATTAATTTTCTAATACCAACTTGTAAATCGTGAACTATTTAGTTCTCATATGGTACAATTCATGCATAGTTAACAAATAAAGTTGCTCACAAAAAAAGTAACGTGCATAATAATTTTGCTACCACTATAGTGGATTAGGTTTTTAGTGGTGTTTCTTTTTCACATTTAACGTTGTTTATAAATGTCATTAAAAGATTAGCGGTATTTATCAAAAACGTCATTAAAAGTGTCGCCTATATCTACGTCGAGAAAAATAGTGACGTTTTAATAAAAATTTTAATAAAAATTAAATATATATTTTATATTAATATAAATTATAATACATAATTTTATATAAAATATATACTTGTATTTAAGGTAAAATTGTAAAAAAAATTGAATATAAACGAATAAATATATGTTTATGGTTTATTCGATTATTTTTAAATATGTTTTTATTTTATTAGTATTTGTTAAAAATATTGATATTCTTTCATGTTTGTTTATTTAAATAATAAATTATTTATATTCGATTCATGTTATTTTAATTAAATTAAATGAGTTTATTCGTGAATATTAAATGAATATATTTACGAACGTATATAATGAATATATTCATAAATAATAAATAAATTATAATCAAATAAATTTAAATAAACAAACTCTAAATAAACATAAACAAACTCAAACAAATCTATATTAATTTTAAAATAAGATTAAAATAAAAAATAAAAAAATATTTTTATTAATATTATTATAAATAAATAATAAATAATAAACAAACAATAAACGAATAAATTTTAAATCAATTTAATTATTTATGAACATAAATAAAATAAATAAACTTATATTCATTTTTAATTTTTTTAATAAATAAATATAAAAATATTATTTAAAATCATTTAATAAATTTAATAAAAAAATATAAATAAACAAAAATAAAATATATTCACGATCAATTTATTAAAAATTCTATTCGCATACTCTATAATTTAGGGAACTTTGGAACAGAATTGGAAGATAAAATTGTCACACAATCAAACTCCAGCTAGGCTACCAGTTTTGACAACGTGGTGACAGCCTTAACCCAGCTGTTATGGGCCCTACATTTTGTCCCGATACAAGCAACCCTTTTCTCTTCAATTTCTCATCTCATTTCTTCTTTGTCCTTTTTAATAAAAAAATAACACATTCTTTTTTATTCCAAGTTGTTTATTTAATTATTTTATTAGAAAGAATTGCATATATTATTACTATGAATCATAATAACGCCAACATTTTTAATTATATTAAAGATTCATATATAATGAATCAAATCTTAAAAAAAAATTCTTTTTTGTTTGTCAATGCCAATTTACCAATAATTTTGTTTTAAAATGGAAACCCATCATTGTCAATCCATCATATCTCTGATGGATTAAACGTGTAAAGCCTATTTCTTGCTGATTTTAGAATGCTATTGTACGTACTCCTACATATTTTATGTTTGGGAAGAAAAAGAATATTATAAAATATTGTTGTTATTAGAATTTTTTTTTGGTAAAATTTTTTTGATAAAATATTAAAATTTTAATTATAATAAATGAAATTTTAATTTTTAATTATTTCATATATAAAAAATTATACCCAATAATTTAAAATTTTTATCGTGTCTATTTTTACTAATTTTGTTTTCCTTACTCAAAACGAAAGTAAAAACAAAAAAAAAAAATCGAAAGAATTAATTATTAAGAACTTAAAACTATAAACTTGACTTTGAAAAAGTTTGAAACTCATAGCTATAAATTTACCATGTATGTTTTCATTTTTATTTTTTACTTTATCCATTATTAAGTTGCTAATTTCTTAAATAGATTATTTATTTATCAATTAATTACTTGTATTCGTTTTTGTGTTAATTTTCGTTACAATAGAATGTAAAAAGGAATAATACCCAAATAGACATTTGAACTTAAAAAAATAATAATAATAAACTTTTTTATTTTTTTATATAAAATTAATATTAAAAACTTTTATTACATTGCAATTATACACTTTAAATCTTGAAAATGAATTAATAAATTATAATCGCCAGCATTATATTAAAATAACATTAATTCCCTCAAATATTTGTTATCTAAGTCATTTAAATAGATTCATGATTTATAGATTATAGGAGCCAATGAAAAAGATATTAACTAAATATAGAATATTTCATAAAATTGAATTTTATATATGTAGAGATTCGTACTGAATCTATGAAGTATTATCCGTTTTGACTCAAAAGTCTCATGATTTTATCCCATAAAATACGCCTTACAAGTTTTGGTTTAAATCTCTCTCTTTATGTATAATATATATATATATATCAATCCTTATCCACACATTCTTCTAATATGAGATTGTGGACGTTATAATCTCCTCACTTTTAAAGCTTGATGTCTCTATCAAAGCCGAGTTCAATTACAGAACCAAAATCACACCAGACATTAAAATTCTAAAAGTGGCTCCCTACATGTAGACTTAGTGACTCTCACGATTAACACTTAATTCCTGCTAATTGGTGACTACTTTGATACC